AATAGCCAGAACTATTTGCCTGTGGTAACATATGTTGATAGCACTTCATGGTTAAAAACTATCAAAGCTAATAAATCTGCTCTTCTGTGTGCAGTCTTTAGTTGATCAAATTGTAAATTATGGGGCTAGGTTTGGTTAGCCTGAGTATTTTAAAGAATAGTGTGCCTTACAAAAAAATATAGGTTACACCTTTTATCATAAAACTGTTTTTTTGCATTAGTTCAGTTATTCAATTTCAGCTAAAATGTCATGTTATTAACTTGAAAACTAATAGTATTCATAATTCTGTAAATATATATATATATATACTACATGACTTTAAAAAAGTATAATACAAAAGAGGTTGATATTACATATTTTGTTTCCCAGTGGGAAATGTTTTTTTGTTATATCCTTAATTAAATCATGCAGTGACAGGGATTATATATTTCATGGCTTAACTAACTCCCTAACTTTTTTGTCAATTTTCCATAACCTCTTTCTCTCAATATAATAATGATGGTACACAAGAATTAAGATAACACAAAGATTCATTTCTGTGTATAATAACTTGAGTAGCTTTCACGGTGAGTCTTCCGTGATTTATCTCTACTAATACTTCAGTGCCCATATTCTTTATATCTGCTTTCTTTTCTTTTGCAGTTCTCCACATGGAATTTGACAAGAAAATTAAGGTTGTCTAATGTCACATTCATCTGTTTTCTTTTTTATTTCACTAAATATTTCTATTCCATCATGTATTACTTTTCTTTTTGTTCCTTATCTCCTATCTGTGTTTCTACAAGTATACGCAGTATCTCTTCTATTTATGGAATGCTGAAGCCAGCATATTTTTGGTGACTGAAATTTCTTGAAGTACATCAATTTGTTTTATGTGGTCATTTGACTCTCTCTGTCTTGTAAGGGATGCTTAAAATTTTCAACCATGATCATTCAATTTACTGAGAAACAAACCTGTTTCTGCATTAGCAGCCCATAACCATAAGAACGAATAAGCAAGTTTCTAACTAAACTTCAGTCTTTGAAAGTTATTGTTCTTTACTATGTATTTATACGTCAATTGATCCAGGTGATCAACCTTATGATTGAACTCTTGGAAGGCAATACATTTCTATTTTTGTATTTTTTTATAAGAATTCGTCATATTTTCACTTGTTGAATCATATTCTCTTTCTTTAGTTTGCTTTCACAAGTTTTTTCAGTGAACTTTTAAATTTTTCCATTTGTTTATTTTGCACCACAAAACAATGCTCTAGGCCACTGAAGTTTTGTCTTGCAAAAATTACAAGGCCTTCATTCTAACTGTCATTGCCTATTTTATTTTTCTAGTTTTAATGATTTTAAATTACTGTTCACTGCAAATATAACATTCATTTTCTATAAAACATTACATTCTTTTCAAGATTGAAAGTTGATGCAGCATTTTATGTATATTGCCTTATAAATTGAAGATAATAATAAGTTTCTCATGGTAACCAGTTATGACTGGCAGAAGATCATTACTCTTAAACACACAGAGGAATCGATCTAACTGCCTCGTGGTGTAAAAGGATCAGTGGCAGCAGTTTGTACAGTTTCAACTGACTTTGCTTCTGCATATGTTTTGTTAGTTTGCACTGTATTGACATACTTGATAACAAAGGGCCACATTTTGCGTGTCCAAACAGACAATGGCACATTTTCCAGCTATTATTGTCTGCAAAATCTCATTGAAAACTTGTATGATTCAGTAATAACTATGTAATCATTTCTCCTTGCAGGGAAATCTGTAAACATCTAATAAAACCTACATACAACATCATATTTCATATCCAATAGCTTTCCTCCATGCTTAAAGGCACTATGAACAGCAAGCAACTCTTATGACCTAACATCCAAGAAGCTTATAGCATCTAAATCCTGATCATACATTTCCTCTGTTAACAGTGTATGAAGTTTACAAGTGCACAATTTTAATGTCAAAATTGTTTGAACATTATCTATTTGTAATTATAGAAAACATGTTGTCAGCTGTTGAATGGCAAGAAATCATCATGTGAAAATCATGTTGTAACTAAAAATCAAAAGGAAACATTCTTTTGCTTTGACTGTGTTGATTTGTTTAGAGATTCATCAAACATTAACACAGAATGATATATTTCTTTCATCTTTGTGCAAAGAAGTAGTAAAATAAGGTGCTGATCAAAAAACATCAAGTATGCACATTTCTTTCTCCGCATGTAAATACTGCTGCTGTCACTCTCTGGAAATACTTTTGCAACTCCTTTAACTGCAGTGGGATCATACAACCTTCGAGACCAAAAGGATCTCAGTTGATGACTATACATCTGAAAGTTTGTCAATTTAAAAAAAATCTTTCAATCAATTCATACTAATTTGTGTTCATTTTATGATTTTATTTTAACATAAAAAATAATCTGAATTTAAGAACTAGCTATCTAATTTCCATTAATATATTGTTAGGATTAAAATATAATTTAATGCTACTGTATGAACCATGTTTGATATTAATAACTCTCATCTCATTTAATCTCATGAAAAACAATTTTTAACGTATCTGATTAAATATCTCTTCATGTTCTGTTCATTTCTCTACATTTTCACAACTGAAGATGAAGTGCACTCATGTTCTAGTTAAAAGCTGGTTTTGTTTGCAGGATTCAGAAGAAAATAAACCTCTTGGAAACAGC